GGTCAGTGACTGCGCCGTGTTTTTCCCTTGACGTACAGCCCTGCTCGTGCTCCAATCCCCTTATGCGCAGTCCGCTGCTCATTAATCTTCAAGTTTTCTGTGAGCTGAGCACTTCAACTTTCTTTCGTACTCACACTTTTCGAGCCCTCTTCCCTTTCCCTTTGGGGTGTCTTTGTGGTTTAGTCCTCACCTCTCATAACCCCGCGTGCAGCATGGATGACACGCCGATGGATATTGCTTCCCTGGATTCAGCCGCTGCAACCACTGTTGTCTACGAACGGCCACCCAGCAGCCTGGAGCCGGTTAACACTTGCGAGCTCATTACCAACTGGACTGAGTACGCGAACGGGGGCTCCCCCCACTACTGTGGTGGCCCGCCCGCACCGGAGGATCCTTTTGATGGCATACGCCTGGCGACTGGTTCATTTCCGGATACCCTCGGGCAGCCCAGTCATGCGGTGGATCGCCTTGCGCACAGATTTCTCATGGCTGGCCTGGTGTCCTTTGACGACATACGGTTGTTGGTCGAAGAGCTGCGTGGCTACCATACAGCAGGAGCCCGGAGCAGGAAGCGCGTAAACTCGGAAGATGCCGAGGCTTTCACGTTCCACACGGGAGCCTACGTTCATGGTGGTGATGCTGGCCTCCTTACGGAAACACTTTTATTTCCTTGGGTCACTGTTTTGCTTACCTCTTTGGTTTCTAGTGTGGTCCCGGGGCATACTTTTTCCACAGTCGTGCTCTCACATGACGTCCAGACTGCAGTCCACAAAGACATACATAACCACAGAGCGGTTGACAATGCGATCATCCCACTCTCCAAATGGACGACTGGGGGAGGCATCTGGTTGCGCGAAGAGGCTGGCCTGGACCTGCTAAACGGCGAGCCTGGCAACATACATCCGATTGGGAAGTATCTCCTCTTCGATGCTACCAAGGAGCATGCTACACAACCCTGGCAGGGAGGTCATCGTACGGTGCTGATATCATATCACATTAGAGATGGCTGGAGAGTCAGTGACTCGAGACAAGGGATGCTGAGATCGCTGGGATTCATGTTTTGGTCCGGATGTGTAAGACAGGACCCCTATATGTAGTCACCTTTTTGTTGCTGATCTACGGATCGAACGCTCGTTTGTATTTTAAATTTTGCTTCGCTCCCAGTTGCATGGCTGCGCTACGGCGCGCATGTAGCTGGGTTGATCAGGATGTACTAAGTACAGCTGTATGCCGGGTGACTCCTCCGTTGCCTGTCCTGCTCTGGCCTCGCAAGGCGTTAGACAGACGCTGCGACCACAAAGACAAAAAGACGATGATGATGATGATGATGGTGATGGTGGTGGTGATGGTGATGATGGTGATGATGATGATGATGACGATGATGACCATGATGATGATGATGGTGATGGTGATGGTGACGATGATGATGATGGTGGTGGTGGTGACCATGACGATGATGATGGTGGTGATGATGATAATGGGTTCTGTAAGGGCTCTGTGAGAACAATATTTCGCAGCTAGTTGGCGCCATAGCTCAGTAGCTGGATCGCTGCTTGAGCGCATCATGGTGTGGATTCGGCTGCAGTTGGAAGCTACCTGCCTGACAACGACAGGTAATGTTCGCAAGTTTCCCTTGAGTGCCTACCACGTGGGTTCTCCCTCACGCTGTAGGAAGGCGGCAAAAACGGCACCTGCGCTTCTCCTCTGGCAAGTCATCCCAACAGGGGCAATCGGTTACATCAGCAGGCCATGCCGCCGCATCCTCGGGCCATTGCGATGACCCTAAGGGTCCAAGTACCTACTAATCATATACTCTCCCAATTTTAACCTAAATAACTACTATCCGCAACCAGAGTATCTGATTAAGAAGTTAATGCCTTCCGGGTTTCTCAAGACGTCTGACAGGCTGAACGTGACAGGGGGTACTATAACCCTGAATGCAATTTCCAATTTGAGTTTTCGGGCTCCTATATTGAACCACGGTGATACATCCAGCTGCTTCACTTTTCAGAATGAATATGCTCAAAAATGCCTACAATAGGAGAGCCCACGGTTTAGGCTGCTGCACCAGGGTTTAGGGTTTAGGGTACGGTTTAGGGTTTAGGGTTTCGATCTCCTCATTCAAGCCTGCATGCTGAATGTGGGCCTTAATAATTAGAATAGGGTTTTGGGGCCCATTCTACTATGATCATGATAAGGAACCCCCAAAATAGTCTTGGTAATTCTAGCTACAGCATAATATACCACCAAACCCTATTCTAATTATTAAGGCCCCTATATTTAGCCATCACCCGCGGGCTTAAGCTCGGTGTCTTGAGACTTGGCTGCGATAAGACCCTGAAACCAGGGCCTCAATAAAAAGGAATACGGCTAGGCGAGGGTTTAGTCTAGTATACTACAATTCCGGAACCGGACGGAACTTTTATTCAAGCCCCTAACTTGACCGATTTGGGCAAAGAACCTGACAGCCTGAAAAACCCTGAACCTTAAACCCGAAAATCCTAAACCCTAAACCCTTACACCCTCAAATCCCTAAATCCTGAACCCTAAAACCCTAAACCCTAAACCCTTAAATTCCCCAACAAGAAAATCCTGGGGGACCGAAGGCCGCCAACTCTGCCCTCGCAAGAAAATTGGTTTAGGGCTTCGGGGGTTCAGAATTTAGGGTTTAGGGCTTTAAGGGTTCAGCATTTAGGGTTTAGGGTTTAGGGATTTAAGGGTTTAGGGCTTTAAGGGTTCAGCATTTAGGGTTTAGCGTTTAGGGGCTCAGGGTTTAGGGCTTTGGGGGTTCAGGGTTTAGGGTTTTGGGGGGTTCAGAGTTTAGGGCTTAGGGCTTTAAGGGTTTGGTTTAGGGAACAACCTTGAGTTGGATCGTCAAAAAGCCAAAAATACCCATGAAGTCTCAGTCGGGAGTTTGGGGCCGTTTGGGGCTTAGGGTCTCTGACCTAAAGCTCAAACGTAATCCGATCACATAGTATAGTACCATAAATCCCATAGTTTAGGTACATAAGTATAAGGTCATGCAAGATTTGGTCCCCGCAAAACCGCATCCGAGTCGCAAGGTTCACGGCATCCTCCACACCGGCGTTGCCCCCCAAGCCCCCGAAGGGGCTGAGACTCGGTTGTGGGCTGGAAGGCTTCAAATTTGGGGCTTTGGGAGTTTGGGGTAATGCAGGGCCTTAATAATTAGAACAGGGTGTTGGGCCCCCTTTGTGCTATGATTATAACAAGGAACACCCAAAATAGTGTGGGTAATTATTATTCAGGCCCCTCAATTAACAAATTTTAACATCTGTGGGTTACTTGCTACAGGGTCTTCGTGTAGAATACGTCCAGTACTGGTACTAGTTTCGACTGGAATGGCTACAACTGCTGGTATGGCCGCCCTGAACCCTAAACCCTAAACCCTAAACCCCCTACCCTAAACCATAAATCCTAAACCCTGAACCCTTCCGGTCGCTCCCTGACTGGACGGGCGGTCTTCCGCGGAGACACCTCTCTGCCTCCCAGAGCTCTGTGGCTTCCCGGCCCAAAGAAGTTTGGGGTTTAATGTAGGGGCCTAAATAATTTCCTAAAGTATTTTTGGGGGCTCCTCGTTGTAATTATAGTATACTGGGCCCAAAAATCCTCTTCTAATTATTAAGGCCCCTATTCCTGAGCTCCGTAGCCAGCTCTTCTCCCGTGACGCCACAATCAAGCAGCGTTTGTGCTGGCACCACCGGTAGCCTTTGTTCATCTGCCCGGCAAATCTTTAGGGGCTCCTTGCCTTTGAGGGCATGGCAGGTCAGGAGCAGCACATCGGAAGCCGAGGGATTGGAAATTCGTAACGATCCAGGGGTTTGCGGTCTTGGGTTTAAGATTGGGAGGGCTAGGTTCCGGGTTTGGACTAGGGTTATTACAACGACTTGAGATGGCTGTGGACAAGCGACCTAGGATCACGGCATGCGCAGATCGTTGAAGCTTGCGTGTAGCTCTACCATTCTGGACCTCAAGACTCTAGGCAGGACTTGAAAGATCGAATCGTGGAAGTGAAGTGTCTCACAAACTCGTCGGTTCAAGCATCTCGCTCCCGTATATGAGCGGCGCCAAAACCGCAAGCCCGTCATTGCCCTAAACCGCAAAGCCTATTCCGGCCGGCTTAGTAAAGGTTCAACCGTTTACACTGTTTACGCGCTTCAAGGTGTGGGGTAGCCGTATTTGGGTCTTGGGGTTGACGAATCTGGTGACAGCTGACAGCACCCTGGAGCCTCAACAGCCCACTGACTCCTAACCCCCGTCTCAAGCAATACACCTAAAATCAACTCATCGATTAGGGTTTAGGGCTTAGGGTCTGGGGCTTAAGGTTTTCATACAAGGATCCTCAGGGTGAGATGGGGCATGGTCGTTGCTATAGGGGAGTTGGATGAGAATGATTTTCAAATTCTAAACAGGGCTAAATTCAAGTTTAATCCATTCTCAATTTAATCTTAGTCAAATTTGAAATTCAATCATATTATAGGGGAGTTTGGGGGGCTCATTCATTGAGGCTTCTCTCGAGCAACCCAAGACCGCACGAGCGCCGCCAACAAAGCTACTGGGGTTTAGGGTTTAGGGCTTGGGCCCTGCAAACCACTTCGAACCTTGTGATGCCACATGATGACCACCACAAGCCCAAAACCCTTAACCCCAAACCCTAAATCCTTAACCCCCAAAACCCTGAACCTAAAATCCAAACCCTAAACCCTTAACCCCCAAAGCCCCCACCCTAAATCCCCAAACCCTAAAGCCCTTAGCCCCCCAACCCCCCGGAAGGCCAGAAGCCGAGCCGAAGTCTGGCTCCCCCCTCAGAGTCGGGCATGCCCATGGCATCGCCGCAGAAGAAGATCCTACGAGTGCCAAGGTTCCGGGTTTACTAGAAGGGTTTAGGGTTGAGGGGTTTGGGGTTTAGCTTCATACGGATTTCTAGGGATCCAAAGGGTCTTGGAATGGGTTTGAGAGAGGGTTTGATAGCGGCTTCCCTTTGTTAGACCTCGGGGTTTGGTGCGTGAGGAGCTCTAGCCGCTACACTGTAGCCTCAATGCCTTCAGGTGTGAGGGTTGGGTCTAGGTCCGACCTACACAAAGAGGACTTGTTCTGGGAACCCTTGAAAAAAAAACAAAACTCTACTTGCTTCATCTGTACTTCCAACATGACCGTGAGAAAGACAACGACTTTACGTCAAAACAGCATGCGGATCCTGTACTGCTGCTTGCAGAGAATACAAGGACCTAAATCATGTGTTGAACCTCAAGGGGATACTCTTACTAATCGTCCTCGAAAAAGGCGGGCACTGTTAGGGTTCGGTGAAGCCCTCCATATGCCTGATCTGCTGCGTAGCCAGTGGTGAGGTCCTGCGCGGGCAGGGGCTCTTTATAGTGTGCTACAGGGTTGCTTGGTTAAGGGTGTTAGGTTATGGGTTTATAAGGTTTAGGTTTTATTTAGAGCAATGTTTGTGGGGTTGCATAAGGGCTGTAGGTGGGTCTTCTTGACGGGTCCTTGGATTAAAGATCCTACAATGTAGGCGCCATCTTTGGGTCAGGCGTTCAGGGTGTTATAGTTCCAGAGTCTTATTACATCTTACACGGAACAAGATGGAAATCTGAATGATGGCTTTGTAAAACGCTGTAGAAGGTGTTACAAGGGTCTTATTTTGGTAGTTGACATCCTTACCCTAACCCTCCAGGTACCTACTATATAGGGCCTTGGGGGCTCTAGTACCCTATATAGTAGGTACCTGGGGGTTAGGGTTAAATCAATGCCAGCCTGCCTGATTTAGACATGAGAGCCGAAATGCTTGGGGATTTCTGGTTCAGGGTATATTACCTCGGGGTTCAGGGGATCCCTGCTTATCTAGGGGCCTTTTTGCCTATGGTATTTTGAGGGGTTCCTTATTAGAATTATAGTATAGTATACCCC